GAGATTTTCTTTTTCTTTTTTATCTGATATTTCTTTTTCTTTTTTATCTGATATTTCTTTTTCTTTTTTTCTGATACTTCTTTATCTTTTTTTTCTGATGCTTCTTTATCTTTCTTCTTCAATTCCTTTTTATTAAGTGATTTTATTTCATTGTCAAGAATAGCTATTTTTTCTGCCATTTCTTTTTCTTTTTTTTTTAATTCTTTTTTACTGGGCGATTTTATATCGTTATCAAGAATAGCAGTTTTTTCTGCCATTTCCTTTTCTTTCTTTTTTAATTCTTTTTTACTAGGTGATTTTATCTTGTCATTATTTTCAAGAATATTCTTTTCTGTCATTTCTTTTTCTTTTTTTTTAAGTTCTTTTTTACTGGATAATTTTATATCATTATTATCAAGAATAGTACTTTCGTTTATTAAATCAGAATTATTTAGATCATTATGATTTTCTTTTTCATTTTCATTTTGTTTATCCTTTTTCTTCTTAAATAGACCACCGGGCGGTAGGACCGCAATTCCTCCGACCGGTTTCTATAAGTAAATTTATAATCACACATTGCTTCATGCAAAGCACGATTCAACTCTATTGCTACGCTATTATTAACTATATGTTTTACATTCTCTTGATATATATTTCATGCTAGGTAATTAATTACGGTCTGCGCTCTCAAAAAAATATTAATTATTTTGTTAAATAAATATATTATCTTTTTTTATCTACAAAATTTATTTATAAATATGATATATTTCTTAAACTTTTTTTTAAATATGTAATAATTATTATGTGCATGCGAACATAAGCATTAATGCAATTAAATAGCATAATAAAATTTTAAAAAATTTGAGAATTCATCTTTGAGGCGATGGCCGTATAATGTTCGCAAAAAAGAAATAAAAAATAGCAGCATGCATCGAAAAAAAGGAAAACACCAAATGGTCACATACATTAATATAGATAGATATATGTTGGTTAATGCATGATAGTATGTTCCAGGTGAAATTCTATACCTTTTTGCCACGATCTGCATCATATTCTCCTTCCAGGCTACTGGTACTGCTAGCTGATGTTGTTCCAGCACTTGTTTTGCGTGTGAGCTATCGGTGTTAGTTAGGTGTCAGTTAGTTTTTATGGTTGAAGCACTAGGATGTGAATATTGAATTCAAATTTGTGAAATCAAATTATTACATACAAATGCCATGTTCAATTTTTTGGTAATAGTTATAAGATAAAATTTTATAAAATCTATAAATGTCTAAATTTCTTGCAAAAAAATAAATTTCAAATCTGTATAAATATATACAAGTTAATTAACTGAATATCTTATATAGATTTAATAATTATTAATTTTGAATTATAAAATAAATTTTCAAATTTTGTGTATGATTTTTAATTAATGTTAATTAACTTGCATGTGCATTATTTAATTCATTTTTATTGATTTTGGAATAAATGTATTAAAATGACTAATGCATTCTACTATATCTAATACATGGCATACGAAAACTTATCAACATGCCATGACTACAAATCTGTCTGTTTAATTTAATACAATAGTGCATAATGATTAACTTGGACTTTTTATAAAATATTATTTTTTGCTTTTAAGTGAACCAATTGGTGTTCTACAATTTCTCCCTTTCATGATATAATTATCATTCCAGTAGTGCTTAAAAAGTTTATGATAACAACAAGAATACTTAATTAGTTAAATTTATTGTTATATTATCAAAATCTTAAAAAAAAGCTTTATTTGAAAGCGTAGACCGCAGAAATATTTCCTTTAAAATGATTATTATGGAATAATTTTCAATTTGCATGACGATTTCATGCATCTTCTACTAACTATTACTATTTTCGATTTATAGAAGAATATTTTTTTTACCTTTTCTTTTTGTTTTTTAATTGGACTAGGCCGTTGATCTATATGCTCCATATCAGGAATCATTTCAGGTTCATAGCTCATTGTATGCCTCTTACTTGGTTCTGAACCGTAAGATTCAACTTGTTTAGGACCCCCTAATGCTGTATAATGTACACATACCTTTCAAAATCTCAATGTGATAACTTTGCAATAGCGGTATCAAAAGGGCATTCGGTACATATAATAACTAAAATAATAAATATCAAAAAATTTTTTTACCATCCATACTACGAGATGTAGGACGACGACCACTTAAAGATCTTTCAAATTGTGGAGGTTGTCTGTCAATGGGAGTCTTCTTCGTTTCGTAATGAGTTCTACCTGAATATCGGAAACGAGAGCCCAAATGTGGTAATAAACCTACTTTTTTTACAGGCTCAGGACTCATGAGCCTAAAAAATAAATAAAAAAATAAATAAATAAATGAATATATATATATATTATTTTATGTCAATTTATATTATTTTATTTTGCAAATTAAAATAATTATTAGATAATTATTTACCTGAAAAAAGTATGGTGTTCTACACATACTTTCCATAGTTTTTTTGCAGCTCTATGATTTGCTAATTTAAAACCAATTGTCGATTCAAATTGTTCAAATTCACCTGGTCTGATCTTTATATAAAAATTATGCCTTTTGTACGAGATTTTTAATATCTTTGGCCAAGCAAACCTGTTGATTCTCAATCGATCCCTATATACGAGAAGTCCAGATGAGCATACACCTAACATTATATCAACACCTTCAGAGTCTTTAGCAGGATGAAGATCAACTCCGTACATTGCTAATTTTTTTGCATTTTCAAGATAGTGAAGTTCCGCTTCCGCGGGTGTTTGACCTCTATAAATACACAAAAATTTTTATTCTTTTTTTTACCCAATAATTATAATATTATATAATTAATTACATAACTAATTAATAGACGAGACTAACTTATGCGTTTTATGCAGATCCATTACTTTCTCCACTAACTCTGGAGTTTGATTAGGGGCAAATTTGAAGTCCTTTAAATATGTGCGACCATGTTCTTCTGGATCATAATCTCCGACCTCTGATTGAACTAAATATGAACCTAGAAGAGCGTGAGTTACAAAAGAACAGGGCAATCGTCCCGTGATAATATCATTTCTTATTTGAAGGCATAATTGGTAACGAGTTATATCTTCTTGTAATTGGGCCGGATCCGGTGGATAAAACTTCACCTCGAAATTAAATTTCCATGGTTCGTCTGCAAAAGTCAAAAATCGTCTGTAAAATCAACAATTAATTCTAACAATGATCTACATAACGTATATATCGAAAGAAAGAAAATGTCCTATGTACTTTTTATAAATTTTGCAATTCTTTTATCCAGATCTAACCAATTTCGTGAATCGTGTCTGTCCTCGTAAATAAGACCAAAATAATCTTTTTCCATTAAATTCATACTTTGACATATCATATCAAGTAACTCTTGGCCTTTCGCCTTTCTCTGAAACAAAATCAATTTTTCAATTCAATTCTTGTTAAACTAAATATAATATATATTATATTTTTTTGACAGAATGAAAACAAAAATTTCTAATTTACATCTATATGAAAATCTTTCACTGTTCCATCCAGCAATGTAATCCTTGCAAGAGCTGTTTTGCCTTTGCTGATTGGACTTTTCGTTGGCGAGTTTGTATCGGTTCCATTTTCTGCCGTTACTTCTGGTTGACCACCAGCGGACTTCTGTTCTTCCGGCATACTTCAGCCCTGTGCTAAAAAGATTCCGCGTGTCGAACCAACACATTACTCTACAGTGATTGACTGATACATTACAGGAATGAAATAATAATCCTCTAAATAAATCCGCTTTCTTAATTATATCGAAGAAATATTGCGCGTTGTATTATTTCAATATATTCGAAGTGTAGATCCTGCCTAGACTCGAGGGTGCCATGTAGAGAAATAATCAATATTTGTCGGAGTTGTTCGAGTTACATGTACCCCGTCTATAAAACGCCTTGGTCCTACCTCATTAACTAACGAGAGAGATTTAATACTTTGAACTTGTTTTATACGCATATAATTTGAATAAAATCTTTTCTAATAAGAAATTAATTCTTTTTTGCCTTTTAATATTTATTTAACATTTATTACTATACATTCCTATCTAGCGTATATCAAACGCGCGCTTTTATTCCTAAAAAGAAAATATTGTAAACAGAATTATATCTTGTCTCAGTTGCATTCCGTAATAACATGTTCGATTATACTTCGATGACGCGAGTTCGTATAATCTCTGGAATCCACTCATCATGAGATACGGCGAAAAGAAAAAAAAAAATTACACTATTACTAGACGATTTCGTAAGAAGTTCGAGAACATGTAATAAGCATGTAAAAATATAGTTATGTAATTAACCGCAATAGAAACACGTGTGTACATTTATCACGGGTCGTTCGCCTTCTGACAAAGACAGATAGACAGATATACAAGTCTCCGCGTAAAAGCGATATCTCGATACAAAGCCAATAAAGCCGCGATATTTATAATGCTATGCCTATCAAAATATACGAGTCAGATATTATTAGACGCGATATAAACCGGCTATAAAAATCACGTCTGCTTTACGATCGATCGAGGAACGTGTTTCGAAGGATTTGATTGGAAAAGGTTTCATAGGGAAGCGTATAAAGAGTAGAGTATACATCTCGTATCGTAATATCGTAGAAAAATTCAGATTTCAATTTCTAGAAATGAAAAATAGTCGTGAGCCCGCGACCCTGACCGACACGCTTTGTCGAGTCTACTCTACCAAGTATTCGACTCGGTTGTGTAGACTCCCTTATGCAATGCCGGAGAGCAAATAGTAATTCAACCTCAATTGCACGGAATCAGAGCCATACTAGGACGTTGTTTGTCGTTGCAAATACTATTAACGCGGCAAGCCGAGAGAACGAGGGGAAAAACGGGATCGCAACGATTCCTCGAGGTTTTCGCGATTTGTTCGAGGAATCCGAGGCTGACCCCGTGAGTCACGCACGAGCAGATGCACGAAGGGAGAGAGAACTCTGTATCATTAAACGGAAATCACGGTTTAACATTCAATTCCGACCGAATATCACGTTACACAACAACAAAACCCCCATCGATCCCGACAAAAGACATAATTATATAAATCTGTTGCGTTGTTACGCAATGTTGTGATTAAACGAGGAGAGAGAGAGAGAGAGAGGGAGGGAGAAAGAGAGAGAAACAAACAAGAGAAAACACTTCTGCAACGTAATACCTTGGTAATACAAAATAAAATAAACTTTGTATCGATGATATAAATAGAATATCGATGATTAATTGAATCGCAAGGAATTTACATTAAAGAATCGAATATATCTATGCCATTGAATTGCAGAGAAATTACGATAGAATTCATAAAAATAATAGGTTCGTGTTGATTCGCAAATTCATCATCGTTGGAACAAAGCGTTGTTCTTCATCTTTCACGAGGCCGATGAAATAATACCCCGATTAGCAAACGCGATGACGTGTTGGCCGATACTACACCTATGCATGTACTCTAATACGATTGACCAAGTTAATCCTTGACTAAATGGATCAACGATATTCCAGAAATTCTTAGCGAGAAGAGGTATATGCACTCGATGTATGCGCAGACCACACTCCAGATCCCGATAGATATCAAATAAGCATTTGAAACTTAAAGCGTACTGAGGCTGAATCAGCGAGACACCGGTAGAAGAAACCGGTCGATCGTCTCGTTTTGCTAACGGGTCAGTTGAAAGTTTAAAGGCCTGCTGAATGGAGCGAGCAGGTCTGAAAGAATCCGCTTTTTTCGCCAACGTCGCGAGAGAAAGAGAGAGAGAGAGATCCTTTCAAGAGACGCGTGGGTTTCATTTGGTCGTGCGTCAAAGAGAGCTTATTGTAAACGAGGGTCGCGTGATCCACGGCACACGCCTACATCGATCTACCATGTGTACTACACGGTTGGTGACGTTACGTGAACACATCTCATCCTCTATGCGCATTAAAGAGCTATCGTCTTTAATGAATAAATTCATATCTTTCACGCAGTAATTTTCGAGACGTTGCGTTGGTTACGTACTAAAAAAAAAAAAAAAACAAATAGAAGAATCGAAATTTCGCACGGAATTTATAGAATCGTTTCCAAGGTTCGAATTCATCCAACTACGAATAAATTCTTAAACGATGCGGTAAGATTGGAACAAAAAAACACAAGTGTGTTTATTCTCACGCATACCTGTTGCGAGAATAAATTAACATTCGACTTGCGCAACAATAAAGTTTGCAAAAATAAAAAAAAAAATAATTTCGAAATCCAAACGGTATAAAGCGAGCTTTAAAATCCAAGCAAGCGATGTATTAACCTGCGTTTTCCAGTTAACGGAATCTCAATCTCAATTTCAATCGTCGATCCAGATTAAGTGTCAACCTATACGCCACATCGAGCATCGATACGCGGATAACGGATCGATGAAACGATTCCGCAAACCGTATCCGCGGAAGAGGACGAAGAGCACGGAGGATTCATTAGAAAACAGTTTTGCATATGCATGCACGACTGGGTTTATTAGCCTCGCGGTGGTGGTGTTTTGCGATCGTACGTGAATGGATACACGTCGACTCCAATTCGAGCAGAAGCGGACGCGGCATTTAAATCCCTCGTGTCGTACTTCAACATAATGCCAGTCCTCCGGCATCGCGTGTGCGACATCGTGTAGCGACGAATCGATGAAAAGCCCAGCTGGGTTCTTCCAAAGAACACAAGAAACAAGAATGGGGAATCTCCACGGTGAGATGTTTGATCGATCGACGTTTCCATTGTACGTCGCGGTCGGATATTTGCGGGCTGATAATTTTCCGGCTTACAAACAGCAACACACGATCGTTGAAACATAGCCAAACTTAGAAATCAGGTTCAGGTGTATTTCTATAATAGCTTTCTACTACCTAGAAACGTGCCTATTTGTTGCACAAGTTGCACGATTAGAAAGAGCAACTTTTCCTTTTTTTTTTTTCTTTTTATTCTAAATCGCCCGATTTTTAATAAAATATTCGTCACGAGAATATGAGAATGGCATCGTTGGTGCACCGGTTTGCTATATTATTTTCGTCGAGGCTATACAGGATTCGAAAGAAAATCTTTGAAAAATTAAAATCCATCCCACTTGCTTGGACGAGTATTTGATTCGAGAGAAATTAACGAGAAACGGGAACAAGTTTCTCGTGCGTGAAAATTATGGTAAAAGGGAAGATGAGGGTGGAGAGCTCGTTTCGTACGAGACGATGGCGGTGTATAGCCGGTGATTTCCGTAGCGGGTACAAACACTGCCAGATTTATTGTAGAGTCGATTCATACGCGAGGGTGCGTACTCAAGTTGGGACAGTTTTTATCGGGTGTCGTGCAGACGCGTCTCGTTTCACCGATCGCAAGCAAGGGGTTCCCTCCCCGCGTTTATCTCGCTCTCTCGTTCAACCCTTTCTTTCATCGGGTTGGCAACGGCATTCATCGTAGGTCTTCCTCTGTCGCGAGTTTCAATGCTAGGAATTGAAGGGGGTGAGAAGGCAAGAGCGGAAGAGGACAGACACAGAAGGCGAGGAGTATTCTTTGATGCGTAAAATTAAAGGGTTTGAGAGCTGTAAAAAACGTCGTCGAAAATTTTACCAACCAGAATTTACCACCGATTCTTCTCTATTTCACTCGCCGAATTCACCCCTATGCTCTTCCCCGGCTACGCGCAAATTTATCCACCTCGAAGAACGACCAAACACCTTACCCTGTAATTTCAAACCACGGAATTAACGAGCGATTATTGTTTTTTTTTTTTTTTTTTCCGATCTAAAGAGTAAGACTTCGTGCGTTATCGAGTGTCGAGCTGACGGCGAACGATTCGTACTTTAATTAAACACTCCACGCCATCAGCCCCCTTGCGTATTTTTACACGAGGATACGTTCACAAGTGTTCCAAGGGTGCCTCTGTTACGTGCGTGTAGAATTAAAAACTCGAGAGCTCGTCATCGACGAAAAAAAATATAATACACGCTGCCTTGGTCGCGTGTCACGCACCATGCCGCATGACTCACCTTTAATTTTAATTACCCTGTAATTTATAACAATTTCAAGAGTTTGGTTACGTACAGCGCGATTAAATTTTAAATTTGATTATATCGATCAAAACTCATGCAATCTCTAAATTCCTCCAAGTTTCACGACGGAATAAATGCAGTAAGAATTTTTGCATACGAACGTAAGCGAAACGTAAACGATCTTCTGCTTCTCTAGTTTCACACAGTGATTTAGTGCCATAACAATGGCCATTTTTTTACGAGCGATTTTTACCCGCGTAAACCGAGATAATTGGCCGTGTCCTACCGTGTAACACCACGATACGTGTTACACCGCCGTCGTTATTGCGCTCTTCTTTTTCACGGTTAAATCGTTCTTCAGCGAACCTAGCATTACCATGTCTCCCGTTTATGAAAAGTTTCCCCGTCTCTAGAAAATGTCTCACGTCCCTGATTTCATACTTTTTCTCCGATGGTCGAGTGCGAAAGTGACCGATTATTTTAAAAATGCACGAATCTCAGGCTTTCTAGGGGAAGAGTGGTAAAAAATAAACGCGATTCGACGTAAGTAAGTACCGCGTCGAGGAGAAAATACGTTTGCCGATTAGATGCGGCAAGCGGCCATGACGGAAATAGAAAAAGCGAAAGAAAGAAAGCACGTTGATTACATGCGCGATTTAATCAAGGCACAAATGTTGCGCGAACGTACGTACGTTGTGTTCTATGTGAACACGGAAAAACACGGTAAAGTGTTTGAAAAAAATTTAAATCCATAGCTTAAAATTACCAGCTACGATGTATTACATTGATTTCTCAAATAAATCTCTTTTTTTGAAACATCAAATAATTTCTATACGCGCTTTTCTCAATTAATTTTATTATTTAATATTTGCATAAGAATTATTTAGATTCATAAGCCAAAAGAAAAATTCAACTCTATCTTTGAATGCAGTTCTTGCAATTTAGTAATTTACATTTTATATGTATCGATATAATACTTCAGGTATATACAATATAGATTTACGTGTTGCTCTGAATATAAAGAATGGTACAAAGAATTAGACGGAAGGCTATTTAAGTTGATGGTAAATTGCAATTCCAATCATAGTATAACGAAACACGTGACGATCATGGCCACGCCTTGTTCGCATTTATCCTCTAAGTTTCTTTCGTGCGGTGAACGCCGATACTTCCGGCGATTGCTTTACGGAAGACTGGTACTACTACGCGAATGTCAGCCAGCCGTACAATTAAATTTTACGTGAATCGAGCAACCACGCGGAGCATGCTTGCTTGTAGTACGCTAACAGGTGTGATACGCTTGGCGCAACTGCTATTACAATTCAGTCGAGATCTTATTTCGGATTCTTATTTAATCCTTGATAAAAATATCATGCAATTTATCAATACATTGATATCTAATATCAACAAATGGAAAATATTATTTGATAAAAACATCCATTATCATACGCAATGAATTATTTATTGGTCGATATATACATCGCGCGCTTTTAGTTTACTTTGGATAATATTTATCAGGTATAGCGAATAAATCGATAATACTGAAAATTAAACAAATAATAAAAACTTTATTCTATTTTTCGATAGTTCGTTGAATTTATGTTAGATCACGACGATCGTTATTATTTTCGTAAAATAATTAAAGATTTATTTCGATTTTGGAATCAAACGAGATTGTCAATCAGATATTCGTTCACAAGTCAATGCACGATTTGTCGTATATATGAGAAAACCGCATTATATGTTGTATTTTACAAAGGTGTGTAAGCTTGGTTCCCCCAAGTTCATTGTAACTTTAGTCATGTCGTGTGTTACCTCCTATCAGCGTCACACCTCTCTATGCATCGCCAACGAGTACACTTCCTTGCTTTGGTTAACGGTTGTACACCGTTTGTGGTAATAATTTTAAATACGCTACAGAATCTATATTTAGTTTGTTTATACGTTATTTGGCCCAACTTGAAAAAATTAAGATGAATAAAATATTTTTTTAAAGCTCTGTTATTGTATAAATTATAATAAATTTTGTTATAAATAGAATTTTATAATATAGAAAGATTAATAAATATTTCTCTTGGAAGAAGAGAAACATTGTAGAAATGCATAAAGAATAGTTCCGATCGATTATTGGCAAGAGCTAGAAACGTGATGAGATTAATGTAGATTTCGAAAAAGCTGGCGTCTTTGTGACAAAGTGTATAATTGACCTAATTGCTCGTAACAAGCACTCACTGGAAAATGACGAAATCCCGAAGCTTAAAGTAACTTTGTAGATGATGAGATTGTATGATTGCTTTTACTTTCAGAAATACAGGGTATATATTTCATAGATTTTAAGGATGAACTTCGAATAACAATCGGCAAATAAATTTTTATATTTTTTTTGTATTAATTGTAAATGTACAAAGAAAGAGAGAGAGTAATAATTGTAGCAAAGTATCAACGTGTATTTTTTAAAAACATTTTATTTTCAAAATCATAGAAGAGGGAATACGATAGCAAATTTTTAATCGATAGACTCTAAATTTCAATTATTTTCAATCATTAATATCAATTATTTTCTCTGTAATAATAATAAACTTTTTGTTCAACAACGGATTTCTAGCGGATTCTGCGCGTTTCGTTATATCACAATTTCCGAGAGAATAGATAATTTTTTTGAAGAAATATAATGCATCGTATGCAAAGAATGCATTTATGCGTTCGATCTTGTATATATTGATTCTACGCCTGTCAAGATTCTTACATTTGATCATATCCGTGAATATTATTTTAGATAAATACGGAATGATATATAGATATATATATATATCAATATTAAATTTAATAGTTCATTTTTTTACAAATTTAAACAAGCAACATAATGTTTTACATGTTGCACGATGTAATATATTCATGCAATTCAGAGAAATAAGTACTGACACAAAACCTATATAAAAAATTTCTATCAACCGGACTAAGCAGATGTTTCTGTATATATTGAAATGTAACGCATTCGTATTACATATGTCATAATTAATACATATATTATTCTTAGATAAAATATTATTCTTTCGTCACATATTTTAATATCACTGGAGGTTATGTGAAAAATATTTATCTCTCGCATAATATTAACTTTTAAACGAAAATTTGAATAAGCATTTATAATAAAATAATAAAAAATACACTATATAAGAGTTATTATAATCATTACTATCATTAATGATAGTAAACATTATATTTTAAAATGTAAATTCCAATGCATTACATTCAAAGTATGAATGTTATTAATTTCATAATTAATATTTTGAAAAGTTAAATATTATTAAAAGAATTTAAAAGAATTATATCAGTGTGTCATAAAGATAACACATGTATAATTGAATTCTGAAAAACTATAAAACTTACCTAAGATAAAGACGCGATTCTTTTTTAAATAATGCACTACGATAGGAAAATCGCAGATAAAAATATAATAAGACAAAATGCACAAGATTGAAGCACACAATTGTTTTTTTTCGACTAAGTAACGGAGTATTTCTATTATAAGCACATAAACAATTTTTGTTCCAATTCTAACGACAGCTACGAATACGAAACAGGTCCGTCGAATCGCGGGGCGACGCTGACTGTGGCCACGGCCCATACTAGCATCATTTTCAAATAGTCCCATGACAAGTACAAGTATTATTGGTTACATACCTTATTATTTTCAAATTCTTCGTTCAACAAGTGATTACAGTTCATGGAAAATGTAACTAGTTAGAAAATTTCCGTGGTAATAACGCACCATCTAATTGCAACCGTAAGCACGACAAATACGGAACTGCTTTCGATGTTCTTACGCGAGTCAATATGGCTGACTACCTAGGAAAATCAGTTTCTCTTATGACGCAATCAAGCGAGTACGCCCAATCTAAACACATTTTCTCCACTAGATAGCAGCAGTTAGGCAGTAATTTTAACGGTTGGTAAAAAGAAATTCCAACGATCGATAAAAGGAGAAATTATAAACGAAACTCTCTATTAAAAAAAAAAAAATAATAAATAACAAACAAAATATAAAATAAATTATTTATACAATTCTTTTTCTTGTAGAAATAGAAATTTTATAATTATTATAAAAATTTTTTCAAAAGATATACAGAACAAATTTAATATTAATTTAGATTCATATTAATTTCTTAAATTCGTAGTTCAAATATTCTTTATCACGTGAAAATTATTGATAGAACGATAAACTTAATAAATCAGAAATAGGAAATTTTTTTTATGATTAAAAAATTTATTAAATAGTAAGAAATTATAGAATAATTTAATACATTTATAAAAAATTTTTTATAAATTTAATAATTTAAAAAATTATAGTATTATAAATCATTACAATATATTAATAAACTATAAAATTAATTAAAAGTTTTAGAATATATGAATAAATAAAGCATTAGCAGAAAATTATAGCATTTAACATTTCATATTTTAAAATATTTGTTTCGAATTTATGGATAATAACTTACGTATCATTTTAAGCTTAGTCTATAATTCTCGATAATTTTATCTGCTAAGCAACAGTTACTGAGTGAGAAAAAATCACAAGTTAATTCCGCTTCGATCGTTATACTATTTAGACAAAATAATATGTTTTATATGCAAATTATATGCGTTTGATTTTGTATATAATTCAATTTTATATTTAAGTATATTCATTAGTAATTTTTTTCGATGTATTTTATTGCAAATAAATTACACAACAATGTACCATCTCAGACGAGAAACAGGATAGCATGACATCTTACAGGGCTTTATATCGCATGTTCTAAAGTATCAATCTCAATCAAAAATACTGATCGAGATCGGTATGTTAGAATAACATAAAATTTCATAAAATGTTCTATTTCTTTCGGTAAACAGCTACATTATCAACTATGAGTATGTCTGCTTTTTTTTTTTGGTAAACAACTACATTATCAACGGTGGTATTTTACCTTACGAGTTATATCTGAGAACGAAATTATCGATACCATGATTTCTGAATAATATCTACAGTACATATATAAATGTATGTTTTACCATACAATTTTTCTATATTCAGGAAAAAAAATACGCGCTAATAACATTTGTTCGTGTACATTTGTACATTATAGTTTTTGAAAAATAACGTTTTAAAAAATATTGAATTTTATCGTTTGTATTCGATTGATCCTAGTGGTTTTTTTCTATTGCAATATTACAAATCTACAAACAATTCTTACGAATGTAATATTCATTTGAAATATTGGCAATAAACGCAGACCAGTGAAATGAATGTTTCGTTTTAAACTAATGATTATAAAATATATGTGATATTACGCTTGTCATTTTGTGTTATCGTTTTTGTGGATGTGGTATTCATTAAACACGATCAAATGTAAATTTCTATATGGATATCATCGAAGTCTTTACGAACGTTAAGAGTATCCATGGTTTTCAAGGTGATACGAACCTTGTATCGTAAAAGCAGCGAGGTGTGCGAAAGGTGATCAATAACCGTCAATATGCAGGACGACGTTTTAATAAGAGTGTAAGCCTGAGATCCTGGGGCCCAGTTTATGACTCCGCGACACAGGACGTCACTTCGCTGCTCTTACTGCTTGCTCTTTATTATTACTTGTCTCTGTCTCCTTTTTCTCTATCTCTTCTAACCTCCCTCGTCATCGTACCTTATTTTACAACGCTCTCTCTCTCTCTCTCTCCCCCTTTACATTGTCTCCTCCATACTGGTTTCTTCCTTTTCTCTCCTCTTTGTCTCTCTGTTTTCACGCGAATTTATTATTTATAAAGTCGAAGGAGCTTGTACCACCTCAGGCGTATTCTAACTTGCTCGTCTGACTTTCAGCTTTACAACAAAATTCTTACGAAGCTACCTAGTCGACTCGTTTCACGACTTCCTACCATTCTTTTCGTTAAAAAATGTTTCATCGTTTCGAATTGTCGTGCGCTCGCATTTGTTATTCATTCACGATTATATTATGGGATCGCAATTCTCTCGAAATCGTATTCGTTTCATTCGAGACGCGCGACAGATGTATATATAACCGGGTGAAGAGTCACCTTTATCTTTGAAAGCTGGATCGAAATGCATTTAAGGGAACCGTAGATTTGATCGTTCAAACGTTATTTCTCATTCCGCGATCCTGATTAGATTATTGTAAAAGCATTGGATTATCTGAAGTGGCAACATATGTTAGACATTTCCGGAAGTCGTCGATTCACTCGTTCGAGTGGCTTACCGTCGACTCTGCTATATGGATGTTAATTTTTATCGGCAAGTTCGATAGACCGGCCGGTTCGAGTAACTCGCGTAACGAGAGAAGTTAAACGGCAGAGAGAGAGGGGGGGGGGAGGAGGTGGGAGGGATGAGGTCGGGTCGGGGCGGGGGGAGAGAGAGAGTACAACACAACGCGTTCTTGTAAACGCATGCATTCGCCGGGAAGCCGAGGCCGCCAGGATGCGCCTGTGTCGACTACGCCAAGTAAACCCAAACTCCCGGCTTTCTGTTCCGGTAAACAACGTTTTAATCCTATCGAGATTGCTCGTTACAGGGCGCGAGACAATATCTAAGTTTCATACTGAAACCATACCTCGAGCTCGCAACGCGTCTACAACGTCTGCTTTTCGCGATCGCGAACTTGCCACTCGACCTCTCGACAATCGAATCGCCTTTTATCCCTTAAACTGGAAACTTTGGTTGTTTCGAGGCAAGGTGAGGTGAGGAGAAAGAGAGAGAGAGAGAGAGACAGAGAGAGATTAATTTTGTCACGAGTCCCAGATGTCGAGGGAAGAGGGAGAGAAGATAGAATCGAAATCGAGGAAGGAAGGAAAGGAAGAAAAGGAGAGGAGGAGGGAACTAGAAGGAAAGTGGTTGCAGAGCAGACAAGAGAGAGAGAGAGAGAGAGAGAATCGAGGCAATGTGCATGCGTTTAATCGATAATCACCGGCAAGTGGTCTCGTCCCGAAAAGGGTGCGGAGGTTACATCTGCGAGGTATCATCAGAGCGGGCCTACGAAACGGCGATCCATCATCTCTCGGCAGTCCAAATCCGAAATTGCTCGGCCATTTCCTCGGGCTACGCGTGCGGCTATAATAGGGATTAAGGCCGGTGTAAATAAATTTCGAATCGCGAGTAATCCTATCTCTTTAAGCTTTGCGACTATGCTTCGCAAAGTCGAAAGTCCCGGAGGAATCCTAAAACCGAATCCTCTTTCTCTCGTCGAGGATAATAAACACGCGAAACACGAGTCGATCGAGAAACCAACGATAGAATCGTAGACAAGATCCGTTATTCTTCGTCACAGAGAAGAAGAGAGAGAGAGAGAGAGAGGAGGGAAGAGATTCGATAAAAAGAAACGCAATAAGCCTACGGTACGATACGGGAGGGGGCTTGATTTTTTCCCTCCCCTCCCCCCCGTTCTAAACAAGGCGAAGGAGTTCGGGTTGATAACGAGAAGTGACAGGGAGGTGGTTCGTTACTGTTGGTACGGCACAGTCATCGACTCGGTTCTCTTCTTGCCCGCGGTTGCTGAAATAGTATTGTTACGCTGTTCATTGAGCACGAGGCACGTCAGATTGCCAGCAGCGGATAGAGGGACAACCTTTGCCGTGTAATAATAGATATGCTGTCAGCAGGATGTTTCGACATTCGATCGGAAACTTTTTGCCTCCTTACCTGACGGCCCAAGGAAGTCGATCGACGATCAGGCTGAAGAGAGAAGAGAAGAGAGAGAGAGAGAGAGAGAGGAGGGAGAGAGAGGAGAGAAGGAA